GATAAGATCAACCTCTGTTCCAGTTCATCGTTATCATCAAACCCAGTGCAGATTAGTCAGTGTTTACGTCTGTAGATACAGTCAGAACCAACGGGTCGACGTGCCTTCCGAAGCATAGGTATAAGGGCTCGAGATACTTAATTTTTATCACCCATCCTATGACCGGCCCTTCGCGAAAGTCGATTAACCTCCGCGTCGCAAATCAAACACGCTAACCACTGCGCTATCCAGGTCCTTCTATCGAGTTCCTGTTAGTGAATTTGATTCAATACAATTCAGTATTTATTTGTATGTTGATGTTTATCGTCATTATTACATACCTAATCGTTATTAGTAAAGAATCGCTAATTAAGTTACTCGAGTATATCGATAGCGAACCAGCACTTATACACCCAGTTTCTGGATTGAGCATTTAAATTTAAGCACGTCTCAAACGGTACTTAAACCATTTTAAACGTCACTTAAACAGATTTTCGTTTACGTCTTTAAATTTATTTTAGTGATCAGTTGATAGCAGTTTCATAAAACTAGGACATTTTGTACTTTTATCAATTCAGAAACCGGCCGTCCTATTCGTACGCTATGAATGATAGTGACGCAATGCAAAAAATACGATTTTCAGAAATAAGCGTTTAAAGATCAAGAAATTGTAGTCCACCCCTCTCAACAACGTATCGTCACTACGCCACCTAGCAGTTTCTATGCAAGCTACGTTCACAGGGATCTTTGCATTTTAAAGTTTTTACATAACAAAGAAAAATATTGCCAAAAATAAAAAATACGTCGTTTTTGATTAGAGACATTGTCATTCGCAACGTGCGACGCTAAGTTAGCTCAATTAAACATCAATCAAATAATTATATTTGATCAATTTTGCATTCACAATGCTGAAAAAAGAAATAATGAAATCAAAAGAGGTTATTTAGGAAGTGAAAACACATACCTATCTCATTTTTTATTTTTATTTGTATTATTGATTGATTTCATTGATATTCTTAAAAAAAATGCTTAAACCATCCACTTTGTCCCTAGTACTCTGAGATATAACGAAATAGACTCTTTTGATTCCATTAAAATTGTTGAATGCAAAATGAACAAAAGAATTCCTTTGCCTTGTTTTAAAAAGTTTTACCTTTTGCTTTGGCGATTTTCTTGAATACAAATCACGTGTGGGCTATAGCCACAAATATTAATATATATTTTAAGTCTATATGACAAAATATGTATTAATATTGAGATGTACCTAATTTTTATTTTAATACTTACTTCAGTTATTAACATTATCGAGCAATTACACCTCAGTACAAATCTGACAAATTTCACTTGATTTTAAACCTTAATGTTTTGTGGGTAGAGTTAAAAATCAACCCAGGAATTTGATCTATCGCGGTAAGTGACGTACCGTGTATGCCTATTGTTATTGTCCAAACAATGGAATCAGTATCATTGACAATGTATTAAAAAAAAAATTTAATATTCTTATTATAAATAGGAAAGCTTGTGAGGATGTATGTACGTTTGTTACTCGATACACAAAAACTACTGAAAGGTTTTGATGAATTCGGTTTACGGATAGTTCTAAGCCTGAATTAACATAAAAGCTACATTATAACCCACCAAAGAGTTCAGATTGTTAGTATTTACACTGACTAGCTTTTTTACTCTGCTGTTTGTTTATTCAAATAAGGGTTGCGAAAAGAAAACACTTTAGTATCTTTTTCTCTTTTTATTTGACAAAAGAAATTAATTCATTTTTTTGTTTCTTATTTCCGCTTTGCTTATAATACAATGTAGTTATAAAGTAATTATGCTATCTACCTATATATATATATTTCACTTTTCTATATATTACAAAATATATTTACACAACATAATTTTCATCCCGTAAAGACCCTTCTAGAAATAAACATTGTCGGATACTTTAGTATTTCCACTTTTTTAAAGAAAAATTTAATAGTAATTTTTCTATTTTAATACTTTTGGTATTTTTGTAAATACAGTTCAATTTGTGGATAAACTAAAGTATAAAACGATAGAACATTGCTTTAAACAAAACGTAAAACTAATTTGCATTCAGAACACAATTTGCACGATTTTTTAAATAAATATAGCAATTTTACTTTATAAAAAACAACTAAAGATTGATCTAGAACTTAAAATTATTTATCACAACAGACTGGTTTGTGTTCGTGTGTTGATTCCAAAAATTCATACTAAATAAATACAAAGTTAAATTTGATTTAAAGCTTAATTATAGAGAACAATAAAAATTAATAATACAAACTAATCGAACAACAAGAACCTTTTTGAGATTAAACTAAAATATATATGATTTATTGCTGTTTTGGAAACACAAACCTATACAACTGTTACTTTCCAAAGATTCATCTATTCAAATCTTTAAATAAATTTAAATTTGAAAAAATACTCTCTCAGAAAACTGTAATTTTGGACTTACTATATTTTGTTTCAAATTGAATTCATAAAATCAAGATCAAAGCTAATAGTTACAACAAATAATTAATTCTCTCTCCACAATATTGGAAAAATAAACGAAGAAAGCTTTCTATCTTTTTAATTTCAAGTAAAAACTCTTTATTCTATAGGATGAATTTTATATTTATTTTATTTAAATTCTTTTTTATTAAGCAGACACAAACTGTCCATTTTGTTCTTCCTCCCCAAACCATTTAAAACACATAAAATTTACATTAATAATATTTATGAACAATTCTAACTATGTATACTTAATTAGTTATAAAAAATGTACAATGCTCCATTTTTAAATTCTATTAAATAATTTCTTACGTCTAATGTTGGTTGTGCCGATACATTTTTTCACAATATAAAATGCGCGCCATTTTGTTGCGCCCGCCATCTTGTGTTCAGTTTAGTTAAAGTGACATTTACAAAATAATTCGAAATTAGGTTATCCATCATGCTCATTCGCCATTTCCGACGACCGTTAAACCGCCGGCCATACCCTGTTGACAAATATATTTTTTAATGTACAAAGTTACATCAGAAATATTTTAAGATATAAAGCTTAGACAAATGCATCAAATCGGTGTGGGCTCCGTGTTATATACATAGGATGAGCGACTTTCTTTCTTTTTCTAACCGAGCGAGAGGCAGTTGGAAGCTTGTAGGGCAATAATGCTAATGTTAGCTTGATTATGGAAAGTCAATAGCGCTTCAACGACACCCTTTATGACACACTTCTTGTTATTCGATCATAAAATATTAAATATTTACTTATAGGGTTTATTATAGTCTGAATATCCCAACTTTTATTTAACGTTTGGCTTTACGTTTTTATGTATTACTTTACGTGTATTTTTTTTAATAATTTTTTTTTTGATCTTATGGATATACTCGAATTAAAATTAGAAATACCATCCCCTTAAAAATTTAAATAAATTTATAATATTTTACCAACTGCTGATATTTACAAAATAATTCGAAATTTATTGTACTATTTGTTACACAAGTTGTACTGATGTTACTTTTATTGTATTGTACCATTTGTTAAAATTTTTGAAGTTGAATTTATGTTTGACAAAAAAGAGGTATTCCATTAAAAATATTGTCATTTGAATATGTATACAGAACTATGTCACATCTCGTCGATCTGGTAATGAATTAACAACCGTATGTAGGTTTTTAAACAGCATAATATGACAAGGTGCCATTGAGTATAGAGTATACATTACATTGGTTCACGTTGCCAAGTAGTCCTTTGATTACATTTTTCCATGTTCGCACGGAGTTCATGGTTTGTGTGTCATTATAATGTCATTAATACCACTTTGCTGATTCAAGTTGTGGATTATGATTATAGTGCACCATCTTTACTAGACTTCTGTTTATTAACAGTTATAGCTGCAAGTTTTTATAAGGTGTATCTCACATTGCAAAAAGATCGGAAAAGGATGCCCTTTTAAATATGTATAAGTTTATAAAAATATTTAAATCACATCACTTTATTTAGTCCATTTGAAAACCAATATATATTTTTTTTACTTTAAAAGTATTTCTTAATATTATAACAACTGATATATTAATGCCATTAACAAAAATATGCCATTTTGATGTAATTTTGCACTTGAATCGAAAACTGCAAAATGTAACACATCAAATAAAATTATCAGTTATTTTACATTTAGAAAGGACTAGCAAAACTAAATCGAATAGCGTGGAAAACCATACAGAGGATTGTAATTTTCATGATGGTTGTTTTCGATCGTACCGCAGATCGAAACTAGATGTGTAATCAAGACAAAAACGGCAACGCTCACATTTAGATAGTGCAGTGCATTATGAGGAAGGCCTTACAAGGTGCCAATGTGAGTTTCCAACTTACGCTCGGCAACATTTAGTGGAATACTCAGCATATTACGATAATTCTGTTCTAAGTTTCCATGATCCACAGGTCTACAACTGGTAGTTCTATAGTGAGAAAGCAAACTCATTGCCGAAATGGATTTGTGATAATGTTTTAGATAACAGTTCATAATCAAGGCATTTATTGAGAGTCATGCTAAGTTATAGCTCAAATCATACACCAAAATAAGTTATACTTATACATTATAATTTAAAGTAGCGTTGAAATATTAAATACTATAAAGCTTATTAGTTCAACCCAGCGCTTGCGTTTCAATCAAGAACACAAGAACTGGGGTCAAAGACGTAAAAGGAAGGACTGTTCAATTTGGAATTTTAAGGTTTCATGCTTTTTAATTCTCGACATGTGATACTGGTCTCTTGATTTGCTGGTTCGTTTTATATATATTTTTTAAGACCATAAACCTTATGAGAATTTCTTTTATATATTATTAACTGTCAAAACCAATGAAACAGTGACATTTCAAATAAATGAAAAAGCAGTGACGAATCAAAGATAAGAAGGTATTCTTTATGGAATAAAAATAGAATAGTTCAAAATGATATTCGACCTCGAACTCTAAATTCTTTAATATATGTATTATTGATATTAATACTTACGTCAGTAATCCCGGGTTAGCGTCGGGTTGGTACCAGGAGTACTGCGGCACGTAGGGCGGGTGCGGCTGTGGCGCCCCCTGGTGATGGAGCGCGTGGGCGTGCGCCCCCTTCATGTCCCAAGGCCCAGGCGGCGCCCCCTGAGAACAATAGAGAAGGGACCGATTAGCGAAAAAGGTAGAACTTTTATAATTATTATTAATACAAACATCCATATTAATATTATAAAGAGCAAAGATTTGTTTGCTTGCATTTAATAGTCTGCGTAACTACATTTTATAAGCCCAGTCACGCTTCAACATGTCTTACTTAGGACAGGATGGTTGGAAAGCCTTGTTTTAAGGTTAAAGGTTCATTTGTCCTATGTTATAGAAAAAAAACTCTGAAACTCCTGAGCCGCTTTTATGAATTCTTTCACCTTCAGGAAGCCGCATAATACATATACGTACATAGACTTAAATTCACTGAATTAGAAAACGGAGGTTAGACTATTATTAACGGTGTGTTAATCTCAGTAACATTATACGAGCCCCGAGATCCGATAGGGAATCGATCCCGGGACCTTAAAGATGCAACCATCTTGAAACCGGTGCGCACCATTCTACCTCAGAGTTCGTTGATCGAATATGTATAACTCGTATGAATTAACATCACACCTGAGGGTCTATTCTCATCATCAGCCCTTTTACGTCCCCACTACAGGGGCCTTATGGATGATTAAGGAGGAGGGGGGCCTAAACGCAAAATTGGAAAATTTTACGTTCTTAATAACGTTCTTATAATATTGTTATCACATGTACGAAGATTATTTGTGCATCAGAGGTAGCGTCATGTCCTTCCTCCGTTGTATCATAAATTAACGAAAAATTAGTTTCTTTGTAGTAATAGGTTTTCGAAAATATAGGAAATTTCGTTTTCGGATTAATAGAATAGGCATTCAGGTGTCACGTTAGTTCGTATGTGTAATAATAGCATCTTTCTGTTTGATTGGTGATACTAAATATCTATAGGCAATTTCTGTCTGTTACATAAATAGAAATATTCTTAATAGATTAAACACTACATTAGCGGTATTAGCCAGTAACAATCGACTTTGTTGTCACGGCTAAAGTAATCAACTTGAGTTAAGGTGTGTCTATGTTACACGTAAGTAATATATTTAAAAGGTTCCACTGTTTATTAAGGATGGACGCCTGAAAACGTCGGCTCTGGCGACCAAATTCTATCACAATCTCTTTAGTGAACTACAGTTCAATCTTGGATTTAAGTAAGCTAATGTAAGGCTACACTTCAGGCATGAAAAATGTATTCTCATCGACGTCAGGTTTCCAAAATGTGTCACACAATTGAGTTTCAACTCTACCTTCAATTTATTAGGATTTAAAATAAAGTGGAGGAAATAACTGTTTTTTGATCTAAGTAATACAAATATTCAGTTGAAATCGTGTGATTACATATATCTCAAATAAAACATTACATATATCTCAAATTAAGCATTAAGCTGAAGCACTTCTATTATCTTAAACATCGATGGGTGGTATATACATAATAGAAAAGTTCATTTTCTAAATTATCCCAATCGAAATTGATTACGTTAATCTTAATTAAACGAATGAAACAAAGAGAAAAATATAGAAACTAAAAATAAGTTGATACATTTTTGAAACAATAAGAAAGAATTCACTTTTTCTACTTTGATTTACTCTAGCATGGACGTTATTTTAACAACATTTTTGTAGTTTCATAAATAAGAAAAAAATAAAGTAAGTACCAATGGATATCAATAAAAAAAGTAAATATGCTACTGCCCATTCTTAAGTATTACCTTGACCATCCACGGCAATGGACGCCTCATGAGGTCTTCAGAAGACGATCCCTCTATATCTTCCATCCGATCGTAAAAACCATCCTAACGGAAAATTATCTACTAAAATACTTCTCATAATCTACTTGCATAAAAAATATAATAAAATCTCTATCAGTATGTATATTTTGCTAAATAAATTAGTCGTTTTTTTAATATAAATGAAATAATATAATTAAGAAAAAATTTTGAGGACAGATGGAACTTTCCATCGACGCTTTTAAAATTTTTAAATTAAGAACAAAACAATAACTGTTTTAATTTATGGCAAAAAAGTTTAACCGCATCTTGGGACTTATTTCGTTTTTGAACAAGAAACAAATTGAAATGCTGTTTACTTTTAATCATAATATTTAGTTAGACAAATGCTATGGCATACAATCTCAATGTAATGTGATTTAATGTATTTTTTCTATATATATATGTGTCAAAATATAAATATGTAGATACTTACATAACCGACCCTTGGATCCCACGACTGTTGGTGTGGAGGCTTCACGTCACACGACGTGCCGTCCGGCGACCGGCCTGCAGAAGGCTGTAACAAAAGTAAAAAATTACAATTCATTCACGAAATTTAAGAGACTTTTATAACATTTCATATTTACAAGGAAAAAAACAAGTTTTATCGTACCCTATGTATCCATTCAAAAATATCCTGTGGGGTATAGAATGAGGATAGATTGGCTTCAAAACTTAAGCGTTATTTAGACATAATAATAACTTTTAAATTTCAACTATGAATAACAGACAATTTGACGTTTCTTAAATCTTTGGTGATGAAATAGAGGATAAAGAGAACTTTAGTCTTTTAAATTAACTTTAGTTAGACCTATGCCAAATTTCATAACTAAAATGGGTTCGACTAAACTAAATTTTGATGTATATTTAGTCAACAGGTTTTCTTACATATCCGACCTTTACATCCCAGGAGGCTTGCGGCGGCTGCTTCACATCCCAAGGCGTCCCCGTGGGGGATAGACCGGGAGATAGCTCCGATACTGGTGTGGAGCTAGGCGTGGGCGAGTGGGCTTGCGTGGGTCCACCCTGGTATGCTGACGGCGAATGTTGGGAACCACTGGAACTGCCGCCGCCTCCTACGAGAAACGGAAATGTTTTTTAATGTAAAATATTAATTTTAATGGTATTATAATGTTGTTGGTTCTGGTTGTGATAATAATTTACAATTATATTGTTATTTTATTAAGTAAAATATAAATAACAAAGAGAACATTTTTTTTTTTTTTTTTTAGTTTATTTGGGTCAACAAACAGTTTTACAATAGCGTTACAATTTAAGATATGATGTTCACAGTTTCATAATTGCAAAACCAACACCGTTAACCACAGGTTACTATAACTAGTTAAAAGTTGCACATGCTATCAGCCTAAACACTTACTAACAAAAAAGAACACTATACAAATATGACAATATATACTACTTTACGATGATATGGCATTGCGATTTAGTTCAGTTATTCTTTCTTTAACTAATTTTTTGAATTTTGTTTTGTTTAAATTGAATAAGTCCACGTCCTGTAAATAATCGTTATAAAATTTTGCTACTCGGTGCATTGGAGATCTCTTGCCTGCATTTGTTCGACATTTAGATATAGCAAACAGTTGGTGTTTACGCAGAGATCTCGTTTGCGCCCGCCTTGGTACTAAATAATTAATTTTATTTACTAATTCAGTACAGTCATACTCGCTGTGACACATGTTAAATAAGACAACGGCTTCCAAGTATTGCCGTCTAGACTTTAAATCTGTCAATTGGTACCGTTCTAATAATTCTCCATATGACACACGGGCACGTCTGCACCTATAATACATGGTTTTCATAAACTTTCTCTGTACCCTCTCGAGATCATCCACATATTTATTATAATACGGATTCCAAATACTCACTCCGTATTCTAGCTGAGATCTTACTAAAGATTTAAATAGATGTAAATAAGTAGATGCTTTTTTAAATTGATAACAAGATCGCATAACAAATCCATACATTTTGAATGCTTTGGTTATAATAGTGTCAATGTGTATGTCAAAATTTAATCTACTATCGAATGTCACACCAAGGTCCCTAACAATGGTCACCTTTTCCAAAGTACTTCCACATAAAGTATATGTAAAGTTACTTATATTTTTTTTTTAGTAAAAGAGATAGATTTACATTTATTCAAGTTAAGACTCAATTTATTACGATTGCAGTAATAGGTAAATCTATCTAAATCCCTTTGTAACTTAACGTGATCATCGTGGTTGTGAATAGCGTGATATATCTTTAAGTCGTCAGCATATAATAAGAATTTAGAAAATTTAAAACACTCGGTGATATCGTTTATAAATAATATAAAAAGAAGGGGTCCTAAAATCGAGCCTTGAGGGACGCCAGAACATTAAACGAAACCTCTTTGAATAGAATCAAGCTCACGTTAGCAATTACTTGAATGTCGATGTCATGTTTTTCGTTATGAATTAATGATATATGAATAACTTTTGACATAATAGAATGTGTCAAACATTTTGTTTTTGGTTCAGTAAATTAAATCATAAAAATGATATAAAACGTTTCTTAATTTCCATTTACACTTATTTTAATTAAAGATACCATCTCATATAATATTTGAAACTAATTTATTAGCTCTTGATATAAGTCAATATTATATTACCGTGTAATAATTGGTTGTTGCTTGGGGGACTGCCGGGTGGTAATCCTAAACTAGGAGGTGCAGCACCCACTTGTGCCGCCTTCATCATCTTCTTGTACTTGCTTCGCCTGTTCTGGAACCATATCTTAACCTGATGGAAGAAACAGAAAGAATTTAGTATATCCCAGTTAAAGTTAGATTGAAATATTAGATACTCATATCTTGGTGATAGAGATTCCTCAAGAAATTTATTTCTAAATAAAAATGAATCGACTTGGAAAAGTTGACTATTTATCAGACACAAAGAAATAGGCAAAAAGAGTCTTTAATAGTGATACTATTTACAATATATTCAATAAAATTAGTTATTTGTGAACTCTATAAAAACGTGTTTTTTCTAATAAAAATATAAGCCATATGAAAATTATTAATGAAACAAATAACATTAGTGTATCTATTGATTAAAAAAATAAAAACAGATGTATCGACGTTCAATAGTAATTAGACATACGTAACGTCGATGATATTAATAAAATTATTAGCCACGACTAGTTTAATTCCATTTATACCTAACCACACGCACTTCACGTACATAGGGGACAAAGGGATGGCGTATAGGGCGGGGCCAAGGGTGAGGCCGTTATACAGCCGTTAGGATAGTGATGAGACAGTGTTATCGATAATTAGAAATAATTTTCTTTAATTTTTAATAACTTTATATGTGGTTTAATTCAAAAGGAAGTGCTGAGGCCTAGTATTAGAGGTTAGTCATTTATTAAGAACTTCTGCAAAATTTGGCAAATTATCCAAAGTGGTTCGAGTGAGTTTTTATTCTCACAAAGGAGAATAAATAATTTATTTGTATAATTAACCAATAAAACTTAATTTAAATTACAGGTAGACTTTTTTATTCCTTACATCGAAGTAACATTTTCAGTAACTAGTTTCCTACTTAAAAATAAAATCATGAAAAATTTACAAACCTCAAATTTATGTTCAATATAGTACAATGACTAAGTGTTAATTAACTTTGTAATTAATAAGTTGTTTAATTACTAAATAAAAATGACAATCTAAGTGGAACATATATTTCTTATGTCTCTTCACAGTTTATTTGAAAAATATAATAATCCTTACGATAAATAACTATAGTTACTAGAATGGAAATATAAACCGGTTACTTCTATTCCAAAAGCATATTATTACCAGTATACATAAGTGTCGAATTACAAGGAAACATAATAATAACACATAAGACTATTATTATGTTTAATAATGTTTCATGATAGGAAAAGAAACAATATGTCACAACGCGAAACGCGTTTATCAAGTATGTTATTATTATGTGTCAAAAAGATCAATAACATATGTATATATAAAACAGACTGACGACCCTGTTTCGCATGGCTGTAATTTATAGTTAGTAAGCTCCCTAGTATTTTTTTTTCTTCTGCAACATTATTCGTACATACTTCGTATAAATTTCCCCATATACATATATTGCTTGAAATACTTTCATCTAATACTAGCTGTATTCCCACAACTTAGCACGCGTAAATTATAGTGTATGGCAACCCCGTATGATGCAACTACCCGTAGGTGAAAGAATTTATAGAATCAGTCGAGTAGTTTCGGAGCTTATTCAATATAAACCACCAAAATTATTATTCTTAATATCGGTATAGATAAAAAAAAAATTTGGCGGACGATTTACACTGATATTTTGGCGCACTAATAATTTTAGTTATGACGTAGTCATAACATACTCGATTATGAAGTTAATTAAGTGTGTCAAAATGTGAGAGTGAGATACACGCAGACGATTCTGCGGGTTTGAAACTAGTATATAAAAAAAATATATAAAATGTCAGTTAAAGTTGCCAGGTCAATTTAATATTAGTGACTAAAATATTGAGTGAGAAAAAATAATAATTTAGTACTTAAATAGTCGATCTCAGAATTAGACGATCTAGACAGTTGAAATTTTCACAGATTATGTAATTCTATTTTCGCTTTAAGAACAAATACTAAAAATAAAATAAATGTTTAGGGGTGGCTTCAATAAAATTAACGTAATTTATTTGTGTTTTTATAGATAAAGATACAAAACCCATTGTGCGCAAGTCCGATTCACAATTGCCTATTTTTTTAATATTTAAACTGTTTTTTTAAAAGATAACACTTTTATCTTGTATAATTCAGATATAATTTTACTAAACGTAAGTTAAACATGACACTGAATAAATAACAAGTGGGTATGTTTTTAAAATTTTATTGATAAAGCAATCATCACATGATATACACGAGGAAAACATATAATATGTATGATTTTAGTCAATATTCAATCATACTTCATTATTATACTTATAATAAATTTGCACTCGTTTAATTTTATCGATTAAACGAATCAACTGCCTGGCTTATAACATTTATACAAGTATTTGATTATCTAATGTTCTGAAAAAATATTATTTATTGAATTGTAATTAATTTTATAGTCCAAATGCTGTTGTGGTTTCAAATTATATTTTTATTGTGTAATCATTATTCCAGAGTATTAATTTCTATGTAGACTGTAAAAAAATGGTTAATATCAATATAAATTGCGAATGTTAAATTGAAAGTATTTAAAACTATCGATATCGATCATTAGTTGATTCCCGTTACTATTTCCCACCCACCACCTCAGTCCGATTAGTCGGGTCAGAGGGCGCGATATGACTTAACCCTGCCTAACTTATTGTATTGGTATCCTTTAGAATTCAGCACACTCAAAGAGGAATGGTTTTGTAATTTTAGTTAAAAAAGTTATTTTTTTCTTTATCAATTCATATAAAAATATAGTATTTATCTTAGAGTTATTTTTGTAAAATTTTATTATTATTTAATATCTAATTACTTTTAATTCTCACCGTAATCTCTGCATTTTCATAACACAATTCGCTAACTATGTTTGTTGTTCTGTCCTTAGGGAAGGCCTAGAATGATGATGAAGGAAAATACGAGTAATTATCAACTCATTGACAAAATGTATAACATATTCATTAGTTCATTACTTTCACCATCGTAGATTACTGAAAAGTTTTTTTAATTTAATAATATACCTATCATAACATGTCGATACCGAATGTCATCTATATAGGTTTAGCTGTGTAGCATGAAATGTTAATGATGGTCATACAGATATTAATTACGTATCAATATATAGTATAAAACAAAGTTGCTTTCCGTCTGTATGATTTTTGAAACTACGCAACACTTTGATTCAGGTTTTTTGAGTAAATACGGTTATTCAAAAGAAAGGTTTTTATCAAGTTTTTATGTACATACAATACATTTGTGATTGGATCACGCGAGCGAAGCCCAGACGGAAACCTAGTTTAAATATTCGCAAGAATAATGGTCTATCTGTCACACTCATCATCTACTCTTATATTCAAAATATTGATAAAAAAAGTGTAAAAAGAGTGTGATTTTTTAATTTTAATCTACATATATTATGCTGTATGCAACAAAAATTTAAAAAAATATAACGAAAATTTTTATTATTCCGTTAAACTTCAAGGTGCATAGTTTTGACCTATAGCGTCGAGTGGATGTGAATGATTATTTTAGTCAGTAGCCATGACGATGATTTTTTTTTATAAAAATGACAAAGACGCTATTGTGTTGCTATCTATGAAAAAAATGTACAAAAATTTTACGTGTACATATTATAAACTGATGAAATATTTGATTGTTGATAAATTGCTGTTTTCAGTCTGTGATTAGGGAGGTCAAATAAATCTGTACATGTCGGTTACCAATGGGTGATCAAATATGTTTCTTTGGAAGGTGTATTCAGCTATTGAGATTCTTCATTTGAAGTCATTAACACTAGTAGCTCGGTGGCGTAGTGGATAAGTGCCGCAGCCCGCGATCGTTGTCGTTAAGCAATTTTCGCAAGGGTCGGTAACGGGATGGGTGACCAAAAATTATTATCTCGAGCTACTCCGTGCTTCGGAAGGCACGTTAAGCCGTTGGTATCGGCTGCATTTTGCAGTCGATAATACCCTCAAATTCCCATTGGGCCAGCGTGGAGGGTCATGGCCCATCTTCCTTAACCATCCATAAGGAAGGCCTGAGCCCCTGCAGTGGGGACGTAAAAGGGCTGACGATGATGATGACGATGAATACTCACTACTTACTGAATACTTCTACTAAGGTCTGGGCCTTAACTGTAATGCTATTGAAAGACTGATGATTAAATATTTTTGAATTTATATGTTACTTAAACATATTTTTCTGTTTATTGGTTAACACCTTAGGATTTATTTATTTTATTATATCCCATGGTTCCACATAAAAAGTATTTAATACTTTAAGCATTATCTACAAGTCAAGGATGCCAGTAAAGCGAAAAAAAAAATTTCAAACGATTTTATTGAAGCTCTACTTGGAGCAGAAACCAAAAACACTACGCAAACAGTCATCTGTCAACTGGTATAATAATGCAATTGTTTGAAATGTATAAAAAGAGGGGAAAACAAAATGGCGGCGCCATATGGAGCTTCGACCGCAAAGAAATTATTTCCCTCCGTTCGATGTTGCGGGCTGCTATCCATACTCCGTCGGTCACGCAGCTTTTGAAGTTGCGGTGGGGCATGAACGGTGCACAAAACAAGTTTCATTAAAAAATGTTTCTTATCTTTTTTATTAATTTTAATTATCTACTCTTAAGTTATAAAGCTCTGGTCGTATCGTTATTTGTCAGCTACAAATTAACAAAAGTTAATTTTTCATCAAAATATATAATATTACGCAATCTTTTTTTTTTGTTTTAATGCATAGGGGGCTAAAATTGAAACAAATATTGCTTAAAAATCTAAATGAAATTACAAACTAAAGAAGAAGACAAACTATCTCCCATTGTGAGAAACAATAAAACATTGTCGACCCCTCTATATCCAAATAGTCTTGCGTATTAAACAGATAGCAACAAAAACTTTAGAGAGACTCCAAAAAGACAACATTTTCGATAACCAAACATGAATATAATATGTAGCTGTGTTAGTATTAACACACAGGCTTGAGATTATGTAGGAAAATCATGTCTCTTTCTTCGCTGACTTACATTACAGAGGCTTATTGACAGAATTCATTAAAACCATTTTTCAAGATCTCGATCCTATTACAGGGATCAACTTAAAGGTATTATTTTAATGTCGATAAATATTTTTTTTAACACCTAAAATAAACAACAACAGAAATATATACGAATTATATTTTCCTATAACACAATTATTTAAATAAATAATGCATTTTGTGCTGACGCTACTACTATATGCATTGAAGTACATAGAAAGTAACTATATTTTTGTTGCATGAAATTTATAAATGCATATTATTTAACTAATATCTATATAATGTTAAAAATCTTTAAATAAAAAAAAGTCTTTATGAATTTTTTGCCTAAATTTGTTAGCGACTCTATATTTTTAATAATTAGTGTAAAAAAAATGCGTTTATCAAGTAAGCTAAACTGGGATTCTTTCTATCATATATAACTATATGAAAAATGTGTGTTTGAAAAATGTAATGTTCCTTAGAAAATGGTTGCAAATCTGATACATGATTTGAAACATCATATAAATATGAAACATTAAATACAGAGCTTTTGAAATAAGAAAAAATATTTATTTATTTGCTTCTCTTTATAATTATTTTAAATAAATATGATGACATTCAAAAGGACAGCATACGTTTAGATTCATTTATTCCAAAAAGTTTACACTTGAAGAATACCGAGATGCCACATGCACCTAGTACATATTTCGTAAGACCGTTTTTACCCAGAAGGGCGGTATTCGAGATACCGCGGCAACCACAAAGAGATAGCATACACATAACGTGCATAGCACTAAGAAACTCAGAATAAAACCGTCTTGGCCTGTCTGAATCGCGTTATGCGAAGACAAGTTATGTTAGAATGGAGGAGTGCTGTGTAAAAAGGATTTTCTTGATAATTCGAATTTCGAACGCTTCTTTTAAAATAGGAATAGTAACTTAGGATACTCTTTACAAGGGATTGCTTTTGCGCCAAGTAGGCTATAGTTTAGATCTGTTTATTTTAATTTAACACAGTGGTATTATTGAAAACACAATTACCTATGTATTATTTGTGTTGTTGTTTCAATGTCGTTGTGTTGTTATTCAATATTAAAAATTACAAATTTATTTCAACTTTATATTAAGAGAGTTACAACTTTGATCTTATGCCTAATAACATGCTTATTTCCTTAATTGAATTAAAAGATGAGATGTTAAGAAAACATAATGTTTTATGTAAATAAGGACGTCAAGAAAGAGTTCCGCTTGATTTTACTCGCGCCATTATTAGTTAAACAGTATCAATGAAACGGACAACTTAATCCTTTAAATAAATTAATTAAAAAGCGATATCAATATTAATGCTTACCATCGTGCATGAAACTAGTCTGTGTATAAAAAAACGGTAGCCTGTATGAGACTGCATGCCTTGGCCGGACAGTGAATGACGTAGAGTCTGCTTGGTTTTTTTCTATATATATATATAGCTTAAGGATTGCATTATTTGAGACAACTCTTTGGCTATTTGAAATTATTCTTAATCACAAAAAAATAAAACTGTTTCCACAGTTCGTTCAGAATATTTATTCGATTGATCGAATAGGTGCCTTTTAAAATTTTACTCTATTTTCTTTTATTATTTAATAACTCTCCAATAACTGGTCGTATTTTAAATAGGTGTGTGATGAAAAGTCTTACATTTCATTTGATATCAGGTATTAGTTCAATCTTTGTAATAAAAAACCTAATAATAACAATAATCGCAGAAAAAGATCTCTTAGTCGAGTTTAAACAGTCTCTTAATAAAATAATAGTTATCATCAAAAGGGTTATCATATAATTCGTGTTTTTAAAGTACTTTCTTCTTTAATAATTTTATTTAAAAATATTGCTTTTTCTCTCTCCATTTCACTCGTTGTTCGTTGACATAAATACACAGACTGTGAGTGAGCGATGCGCCGACCCTCTTGTGTTGAGCAAAAAGAATTCGCCTGTCCCAAAACACTAAGAAGTGTTATCTTACGATAGAGAAATTACTGTATGTATAATACTAATAAGGGCAGAATAGTGGTTTATAATACCTACTAGTTCAAATAAGCTGTAATGTATATCATTTATATCCCCACCAGCCTATTGATGTCTCCAATGCTGGGGTACGAAATGAATCAAATAGAGATAATGGGCCATGACCCACACCGAATTCACAGTACGAAGCGATGGGTGTTAACGTCTACAGTTGCAGCCAGGATCAACCGCTGAACGTGCTTTCCGAAACAAGGAAATTCGAGATAGGAAATCTTTGGTCACCCATCCTATGACTAGCCATTACGAAAGTTGCTTAACTTTTCTCCAATCGAACGTGCTAACCACTGCGCTATTGTGCGCCTCCATCCTCCAAAATATAGACAATATATATAAATGAAGACCAAATGGTACTACGCTTGGGCTTCTATTCTATTGATATTATAATTGTGTCTCAAGAGCATTATGACAATTTTTGCTACTGTGTGCTACCTAGATCCATGTTACTTTGCAAACAAGACAATTTATCTCTACTGTGGTAATTTAAAAAGTATTTGTACTATCCTTTTTCAATATGTTTTTAATAAGAAAGCACTTCTGTTATATATATTCTGGGGCCTCTATTTCTCTGGATAAGTGAAATAGATTTGAATGAAAGAAGTTTCAAGCAAGAATAAAGGCAAAACAAACTTGATAAAAAGGGTATTTTGTGTTATCAACTTACACCACTTTTTTATAATAAATGCATAGAGAATTAGGTTATTACATTTTCTGAGTTTCGATGTATTAAAGATTAATCTTTACTCCAAATTAAAAAAAAAAAATTACAAATTCAAATTACGAATCACTGTCACTTTTCGCAATCGAATGATTCAAATGCATCGGGTGTTTCTTTTTTTAAATTTCTCGTTTCGCGCGTAAACTTCGCAAGAGAAGATCGGTAAAACATGGCCGAGTTCTTTTTGGTCTGTGGAAAAAACGTTCGGGGTATTCGCGAAATGTCTTTATTCCGACCGCCTTGGATGTTACATGCAACAAACGGACATGCGATTTCAGCAAGTGAGTGATACTGGTTGAAAGAGTTTTTACAATTTGTGCAATATAGTTTTTCTAGCAATCGTGTTGGGTTATTAGTCATAATGCCAATATTTTTATTTATTATTTAGATATCCGTTCGGTGTTAGTGTTTAATTGACTTCTTTCCTCGTATTTGAATTACTTCATTATAACTTTCGATTATCTATTTTATATGATTAACGAAAATTTACTGAGTATTATGATCATCTATCCGATGACAAGCTTCTGTAATAATTACTGAAAAGGAGGCGTTAACCAAAAATTACCAACTTTAAATTGGGATTTTATCATATATCTAATGCTGCTTGCTTTTTCATCACAAACTATAAAATTCCACTATAATTCACCATTTCTCTTCATAGTAATACTCTTATGTTAATGAAAATTTATAAACATTCGAGTTATTTTTTGAGGCCGTGGGTTTTAATGAGGACTTTTACAATAATTGCCATGGTTTGCAATTATTAAATGTCGGTTTTATGCGCAATACACCATCCTCTGTCACTGTTTATCTCATTCACGGGGCGTTTAGGCACGGCACGGGGTGTTCCATACTTAACGGGCAAAAGCGTAAACCTATTGTAAATACATCGCTGTTCATCTCTCTATCGCCAGGCTGTATCCCGTGAATCGTGATAGCTAGTCGGTTAAAATTTCCGCAGACGACTTATTTCTGTTGCCACTACTAAATAACAAGAATAAAATCTATAGTTATGGGTCCCATGGCGTTTTTTTATAGATAATGGTACGGAACCCTTGGCCGGTTTTTCATCTCTTTTGTCCCCCCCCCTCCACTCAGTTAACCTCCGCAATGGTTTATCGATTTGTTAACCACTCCGTCATCGCTTTGGGAAGCGAACTAAAAACGTAATTTGTCATGCCATAAACATGTCCAGAATATAAAAATCTCTATATAAAAAGTGACGCAAGGTGTCTGTCCATTGAATTATTCAATAGAGCAACCGCGTCGATACCACATACAAAAACTTACATTTTTGTATAATTTTATTGATCATATATGAATTTTATGTGTGCACTTTTTATTTAATTTTGCAAATAACACCATTCGATTTATGTTATTATTTAAATCTTTATTGTGATGAAATTTATTGGGTTATGTAAATAACTTTATTTCGCAATGAAAATGTATATGTAATGTAAATGTAAAATATTCCTCTATGTTATCCCAGAATAGCATATGCCGATATTATATAATTCTGTTACAATTCAAATAAAATTTTAAAGATAGCTGTTTTCCCGCGACTTCGCCCATGTAATCTACCTATTTATATATTTATAGCGTATGATGTATAGTGAAAAAATAATATAAATATATAGATTAAAATTTATACTGAAACAAATTATTCCATTCTATATGAACATTAAAATATATAACTATATGAACATAAATTTTTTTTAAACCAAGGCTATAATGGTATCCACTTATGACGACATAAG